AAGCAAAACTTACTCGCCAACGTGTAAATCTGATGTTCTCTACTGCAATGAGTGTCACTATCACACCTCTACTTGCCCTTACCAGAAACCTTCCTCTGTATCAGAAAGTGAGCCCTCACCTTTACTCCTCATCTCCACTCCCAACATCTCATCACTCTCTAGGTCCCCTGGCTTTATTGTACACACACCCATTAATTCCATTCCCATAACTCCTGCTACACGCAGGCCATGCTCACGTTGTACCCAGATTATTTTAGTAGCTTCCTACCCGGACCACCTGCCTGTAGGTTTATTTCTCTTCAACCCTTTTCCCACATGGCAACTAGATGGATTTTTTGAAATAAAAATCTGAATATGTCATACCTTCATTCAAAACTCCTCAATAATAACACTCTTATCTTTAGAATAAAGAGCAAACTTTCAGGTTGTATGGCTATAGAACAATTAGATCCTAGATAAAAGCTACTTCATTTCTATCAGCCAAAGAGTTAGCAAAGGTTACAAGAGAGGCCGAGAGAGGAATGGGGTGATCCTAGGAGCTTATACCAACAGCAGTGTTGCTGAAATACTTGGCTTTGGGTAAGTGGTAAATGGAGGAGCAATCCTGGTCCTGCCACACTGAGGTGGGCTTTTTTTTTTTTAATCGGTACCGGGGATTGAACTCATGACCACCTGCTTGCAAGGCAGGTTCTTATGCCACTGAGCTAAATCCCCAGCCCCGAGATGGGCTTTTTTGAAACATGTTAAAATATCTTAGGCCAAGGGTAGGGAAGTAGCTCAGCAGTGCAGCACCTGCCTAGCAAGCACAAGGCCAAGTTTGATTCCTGTACCAAAAAAGAAAATAGTATTTAAAAAAGGACCCCCCCCCCAAAAAATCTTACGCTAGAGGTGGCCTGACCATTGGCAGAAACAAAAGTAGCAACTAATCCCAGTTACAGAAAAGCTTCAATTTAGCCCCACAGCATTGCTACATACTAAAATAAAGACATGAGCTCACAACTAAAAAAGCACACAGGCGGTCAAACACTATGAGAGTCAGCAGAAGCAATAAACGACAGATCTAAATCCCCAAGGACTATAAATATAAGGCATGTCAGATGAAGAACACAGACAAGCCACACACTGAATGCTGCAAGAAATAAAAGGCACGATCCCAAAAATGTACAAATAGCACTGACAATGTCACATGTAGGGAAAAGAGGAAACCTGCAAAAATGAAAAACAGTTTTGAAACAAAAAATTCAATGAATGGGTTAAATAGTTCAAGAGAGAATTGGCAGTTGCGAGATGTGTCTGAAGAAACTGTCTAGAACGTTGAAACATACAAAACTAAAAAAGTATGCCAGGCAACCAGGCATGGTAGTATGTGCTTGTAATCTCGGAACTCCAGAGGCTGAGCCAGGAGGCTCACTGCAAGTTTGAGGCTAGCCGGGGTTACAAAGTGAGTTCGAGCCCAGCCTGAACTGTGTAGCAAGATCCTGTCTCAAAAAGGACCAAACAGTAAGTAAACAAATAAAGTAAAAAGATGACACATGAGGTAAAGAATATGGAAAATAGAAGATTTAACATCTAATTGTAGATCTTGAAAAGAGAAAACAATAAGAGAGAGGTACTTACTCTCCAACAACTGAATATGAATCTGCAGTTCCAGAAAGTATAGAATCTTTACGACAAATAAAAAGAAATATGACAGTGCATGCTGTTGCATGCCTGTAATCCCAGCACTCTAGCAGAGAAATGCAAGTTTCAAGTTCAAGCTCAGCTCAGGCAACTCAGTGAGATTCTGCATCAAAATAGAAAATTAAAAAGTGAGCTGGGGATTTAGCTTAATGCAAAGGCCTTGGCTTCATCTCCAGTATCGCAAAAAAGAAAAAAAGAAAAAAAAAAAGAGGAAGAGGGGAAAGAAGAAGAAGAGGAAGAAAAAAGAAGAGAAAAGGAAAAGGAAAAGGAAAGAAACATGTGTCACGGTAGCCAGCACAAGACAGTTCCTGGTGACCTCATCTCTGCTATTCACTCCGTTGCACAGCTGCCTTTCAAACTGTACTAGGGCTGGTCTGGTGCAGACACCAACAGGATGTGAAGGAAGTGATACTCTGCTATTTATGAGACGAGGCTATAAAAGAAGTGTCTCCTATCTCAGTTCCTTCTTATTCTTTCCGAGATCACATGCCATAGGGAAATCCACTGCTGGATTGGGACAGCCCTAACGAGAGGCCCAACTGACACCTCTTGCAAGCAGCCCCGTGAGCGAGCACCTCTGGAAGCAGGTCCTCAAGTCATGACTGAACCTTGAGCAACTACAGCCCCAGTCAACAGCTTGACCAAATCCTCATAAAACACACCCTGAGCCAGGGATTTAGATAGCGGCATAAGCGCCTGCTTGGCAAGTGCAAGGTCGTGAGTTTGATCCCCAGTACAAAAAAAAAACCCCCACACCCTGAGCCAAAACCACCCAGAAAACTGTATGAAATAATTAAGTACTGTGTTAACCAGCAACATTTGAGGATAATTTTCACACCATGATAGATAATACATTGCCAAGACCAGTTTTGGTACCAGGAATTGAACTCAGGACCTTACACTTGATAGGCAGGTGCTTATACTGCCAAGCTATATCCCTGGTACCAAAGTCTATTTTGAATGGCTTCAGAGTCTTCTCCATCTGGCCTAGACTCTCTAGCTCACTTCTTGCCACATACTAGCATAATTACATTTTGAACACACAAACTTCTCTGGGTTTCTGGAATGTACCATGTTCTCTCCTACCTCTACCTTCTTTGAAGGTTTTAAAATGTACTTCCTGCCTGACACACGCTTCAACACCTTCTCCAACACTTACACACATGAGACTCGCTTCTCCTCATCAGCAGAGCACTCATCACATGGTATAGCAGCGTTGTTAAATTGTTCATCTTCTCATTAGACCTCAAGCTCCGAAAGGATGGGGACAATGCCCCCCTCCATTTCTATGTTGACATAGTTCCCAGAACAAAGACTGTACTTAGCAAATATTTGTCCTGCAGAATCCCCATAGGATGGGGATTTAGCTGAGTCGGGCAGTGCCTGCCTGGAAAGCATGAGGGCCTGCGTTCAATTCCCAGTACCCCCCCTACCAAAAAACCACAGGATAGGAACAAGCAGGAAGACTAATGTTGGTGAATATAAACATCCTCATGTAATGATCCAAATGAAATCTTCAGCATTGCAACTGACATAGTTTCTAAATAACCAAGAAATTCCTATACAGCATTATACCCTCAAATTTAATGAAGGTTTAGTGCCAAGGTTCAAAAATTAGGTGGTTTCTAGTCTCTCCTAAGTCAAACCTTTTGTAGTTTATTACGATGCTTAAACAAAAATCTCCAAACATCAGACACACCCACTCTTGAAAGCACACTCACAAGTGTATTCAAATGCCAAACAGAAATTATTCTTTAAAAAAAGTACTGCCTACCTTTGTAGGACAATTCCAGCTTATTAACATTTAAGATCTGATCATATAGAGTATTTGTGGTGTAAGCCTAAATAATTTATGCACACATGTACATAAATACATGTCATAAAGTATTAATCACTAGTACCCTCTACTGGTAGAAATACCTTATCTGCTCATATGAGTGGACTTACTGCCCTCTAGTGACCACAACCTGTAAAGACAGAAAATCTAGCAGCAGATGGGAGAATCTCCTTTGCTACAATAGGGTTTTACATTCTTTAAGCATCTGATTTTCTCAGATTCTGGTTTATATTACAGGGGTGCAACTCTAAACTCCTGGGGGACCCTCTAGGGATTTCGCACATCTCTTCCCAGCTGTTAGTGCCAGTCATAAGTGGCTCTCTCTCCTGCTTCTCAGCAACAAGAGGTCAAAGGGAGGCAGGAGTGGCAATGGCTGCACTAGGGAGGCAGGAGTGGCAGCTGTAACCGCCCGCCTCCCGGGGGAGCTGGAGCAGCTTGAGGAGCACACGCTGCCCCGCCCGTGCACACTACACACGTCACGCGCTATACTCCACAGTCCTTCACTCACCTTTGCTACATCTCCAAAGCTGTACTAAATGATGAGAAAGGCAAATGTTGCTATCATTTTGTTTTATAAACTAGGTCCTGCAAGTTGTTTCTTCTCAGAACAGAAAAGGCAAGTTTTTTGTAGAATTTAACTGAAATGTCACCTCCTCTTTGAAGCTTTCTCTGAATTAATCAGGTTTAGGTGACTGTTCCGTCTGTCCCTTGTGCCAGCATATACCTAGTCTAGATCAGAATGGAACATTATTTGTTTATTTGTTTTTTATTTAAACATTATTTGTTTTTTTATATGGGTTTATTTATAACCTGTATCTCACTCTTCTCATTTGCCTGCCTGCTTGTATCGCCTACCAAACTCTAAATTCCTTGAGGCTATGACCCTTGTCGTCTTTATTTCTGCACACCTATTATCAGCACACTCAAATGGTACCTATTGCCGGTCACTAGTACAGAAGATAGGTATTTAGAAACTTATAGCAATTTGACAATTCTATATCTGCTGAAACTAATTTTAAAAAGTGGATCTTTGCCAAGCATGGTTCCGCACACCTTTAATCTCAGCACTCAGGAGGCTGAGGCAGAAGGATCATTGGGAGCTCAAGGCCAGCCTTAACTACATAGTGAGATGCTGTCTCAAAACAACAAAAACGAAGTGGATCTTGCGTCCTATATGTGTTTTATGTCTTGTACATTTTAATTCCATTTTCTGTGCAACTACTGAATTTTTTCAACTGAGAATTTTTTTTAAAATAAAAATCCTTAGAGGGCTGGGAATTTAGCTCAGTGGCAAAAGCACCTGCCTAGCAAGCGTGAGATGGTAAGTTCGATCCCGGGAATAAAAAAAATAAAATAAAAAATAAAATAAAGGTCCCTTCTCAGAGATAATCTGAAAAGCAAAGGGCAGGTAACTTACTGTATGGAAGTGGAAAGAAAGGAGGCAAGGCAGAAATACTTTTCATAAACTTCAGAAGGAACATACCTATCCTTGTTGATTTTAACACTTCCCTGGAGGGTATTTTCTTCTTCAGTTCTCGTAAGGCTTCAACTAGATTCTCTTTGGTTTGATCAGGAAGCTCCAACATGGATTTCCATCTTTTTATGTCTTCTATGACCACAACTCTCTGAGAATAAGAAAAGTCATTTGGAAAATGGAACATTTTCATTAGAAAGATATCTGCCTTCACCTGAGCTAATGGGGTTCCTATTGACATATAAATTATTGATTATGACCTGAACTAAAGCAGTGTGTCTGATGGCCCTAAATGATGAGTAATTGCTTAAAAGCAGGTCCTGCTTACTTCAAACCAGGAAGAGGGTTGCTTCTATTAGGAAAAGTGCAAGTTTTAATCTTACCATGTCAGACACTACTGGTCACTTAGCAGTGAGAAAGAGAAGAAAAGAAAAATAATGCTAAGGCAAATCAATCTTATAGCTCACTTAAGAATCTCTTAATTCATAGGCACGGAAAGAGAGCAAAATCATAAAGACATATTTATTTAAACAGTAAAAATACACTTTAACAGTTCCCTACTTCCTAGAAGAGGAAACTCAAACTCTTTTCTTTCTTTTTTTTTTTTTTTTTTGAAAAAAAAGGCTGGGCATGGTGGCACACACCTACAATCCCAGCACTCAGGAGGCTGAGGCAGAAAGATCACAGCAATTTTGAGGCCAGCCTGGGCTACAAAGTGAGTTCAAGGCCAGCCTGAATCTCACAGCAAAACCCTGTCGCCAAAAAACAAAAAAAGAAAGAATTTTGAAAATTTCAGAGTATTACTTTTAATGAAAATGGCTGATATTTTGCTGTTTCCTTTAATATAATATAAAATTTAAATCTTTTATATCCTTTGCCAAATTCATTTCCCTCTGCGTCTTCCCACATGAAATTACCATTTTAAAATTGATGTGGAGTTTCCAGTAAGTATCAAATATGAGCAGTTAAGGACTATTAAGGAACACAGGCAAAGGAGATAGGAAAGTTCTTTGCGTTGTAAGTTTTCTATAGTTTTGAAATTATTTCAACTAAAAACTTTAAAAAAAGTAAAGTGGCAGACAAAAAATAAAGTTGCTTTTATAATTACAAAAATAAAAAATCTTGTCTCCAATCATTATTATCCTGAAAAGGTGAGCTCTTAGGGATTCGAATGGGGTATCAGAGGTTTCTGAGATCCTGGTAAGCTTTTCCTGATCGGGATGCTGGTGTGTTCACTGTGGAAATTCCTTGAGATTAACAATTAAGATCTGTGCATTTTCTACATGCATACTTGATACTTCCCTCATCTCCCTCCCTTGGCTGGTCTGCTTTTAGACAGAAGCCCACTGTAGGAGGGAGAGAGAAGGTTTGAAGAGATGAAAGGAAAAATGTACTTTCTGAGGTGATGCTATGTACTCAGGTTTTAGAACTCTCTAAAACCCGGTACGTATTTAAAGCAGACTCTTTTCTTATAGCTTTTGTAGTTGCTTGAAGAGTTCCCATTACTGAGATCTCACCTGTGGCACCAAAACGTGGGCAAATGCGTCCCCCAAGTTCCAGGTGTGGGTGATAAACTTGACACAGACTCAGCAGGGGTCCCATGTTCCTTCCAAGGACTCGTGACCCCAGCCATTTTAACTCAACTCCAGGCCAGCCAGCATTTTCTCCCATGATTGCTCACAATCTCTGTCCTAAAAATTACTAAAGGTACAGTCTTCCCAGTGCAGTCATTTCTTCCTCTGGCATAAGACTGTCACTTTCTCGGTGTTTACTTTCCCAGGCACAGGTCTGAGCTGTGTCCACCGACTTCAGGAACAGAAGTCCAGCTCTCTAGGTGAAACTCCCACAGTATGCTCACTTCATCTGAAGCCATTCTTTCTCCCTTCTGCCTTTAAATTCAACCTTTTCTATAACCAACAGTGGGTGATGGTTCAGGATTCCACAAATGATCTTCCTGTAAGCTATAAATACCATCTTTTTTCACTCAATGTATTTTCCGGATTTATCCATATCAATACTCATGATTCCAGTTGATTTTCCTAGTAGTAAATAGTACTTTACTATTTTTATATACAAATAACTTAGAATTTTGAAATCTACTGCCCTAGTAGATAGTAAGGTTTTTCTCCCCTTATGATTTTCCTGTTACAAACAAGCTTCAGTGAACTCCTGCCTACGACAGACTTTTAAAATAGATTTCTTCCTTTACTTCCATCTTTCCTGGTCATTATGCTCCAAGTATCCCACAGCTGCTTTATCTCCTCCCCTTCCCTATCCAAGTGAGACTCTCTACCCTCGGTACATGTGCTTAGTCTGTGTGTTTACTAGGGTTACTGAGAACTCCATATAGGTTCTTTTTTTTTTCTCCTTTCTTATCTTCTACTCACAGATTGTATTTTCTTTTTTTCTTTTTTTTACACTCTAGTGATGCTATACCACTTAATCAATGCAGGTGTGGCCAGCATCCAGAGGTTTTTTTTTTTTTGTCTTTTTCCTTTTTATCAGTTCCAGGGATCGAACTCACGACTGCCTGCTTGCAAGGCAGGCGCTTATGCCGCTGAGCTAAATCCCCAGCCCCAGATTGTATTTCCTTAACTTTGCTTCTATTTTATGGCTCAAAAGTTAGCTTAAACATGACATTTCATTCATTTTAGTATTTACCCTTAAAACTTTTAAGATGTATGCTTAATAAAATCTATTGGAGCCTCTCTTGGCAAGTCCTTATTTCAAAAACTCCTTTTATATCATTTTTTCTTTCATATATTTTTCTGCAATGTACCCAAGTGATTTCCTCAGATCTAGATGCACTTTCACTCTCTTTAGCTACAATTTGTCTACTTTTAATCTGTTCAATGCAGTTCTGATCTAACAAAAAGATTTTTTCATTGTAAAAGTTCAGTATTTTCCTCCAAACCTGCCTGTTGGCTTTTCATATTGCTTCATTTTTAAGTTAGGACTACTGTTCACTTCTTTACCTATGTGAACCCTATAGACATATTTATCTCTTTCAGATTATGCTTTTCTCCACTTCTTAGGATGAAGAGTCTATTACATCTGTTCATTCTCCTTCCTGGTATTTTTTATAAAGTTTGTCATTTTTGTCTATGAGTTTACCTTCAAAGAAGAATTGTTTTATTTCTTTTCTTTTTTTTTTGAAACAGGCCTCACTTGTAGTTCAGGCTGGCCTTGAGCTCACTATGTAGCCCCAGTTGGCCTCAAACTCACAGCGATCCTCCATCAGCCTCTCGAGTGCTGGGACTACAGGCACGTGCCAAGAGGCCTGGCTTCAGAGTCCTGTTTCCCAGGGTAGTCTTATGTGCCCTAAGACATGGAGTCTCAGATTTGCCTTTGTCAAGGTTTCAGATGTTCCTGGTTCTAGACCAGTTTTATATTAATTTTTTTCAGCTTTGCAGATAATGTGAATTTTAACTAAATACATTTATGCATGGTATTAAGTGTATGGTTCTAGTTCTTTTTCCATCCAAGACCTGAGAAAATTACAATCTTTATACTGTTTCCTTGGACCATTGAATAATATTTTTTTAGCACATTTTTTACAAATATGGTAGCTCTTATCAGCTCCCAGCCTCACATGGGGAATCAGTTTCAGCTCTCATCCTTTAGCCTGATGCCTTATCTCCTAGCCCCATGCTGGCCTTAACACCCCAGCTCTTAAGCATCACATCTGGTTTCCGTACTCTGTGGAACTATTCAGCTTCAGCTCCTAGTTATACTTCTGAGTTTGATTTCCTCTCTCTTCCTGAAACCTGAATATTTTCATTTCTTGGTTCAGCTCTGTACTGGAGACTTTTTAATCTACCATTTCTACATGGTTGACATCAGGTTTGGAATTCCATATCAGATCATCGACACGTGAAACTATGACAGTCCAACTTTTTTAGCATGGTATAAAAGGCCTTCCAGGACTTGCCTCCTGGTGTCCTTTTCAGATCATCATTTGTTCCAGATATATCTAACTATTGGCAACTGTCTAAGAAATCACAGTTTGTCATACCCTCTTCGTACAATGTGCTTTCTTTGCCTAATAAACACCTACTTATAATTTAGGGGAGCTTTGAGATAGGTTCTTGCTATGTAATTTAGACTGGCCTTGAACTTCCAGTGATCCTCCTGCCTCAATCTCCCAGGTGCTGGAATTACAGGTATAAATCAACACATTGGCTCATCTATTTTTTTTTAAGTCTCAATTCAAGTATCATTTCTTCTGTGAAACCTTTCTTGCTTATCTCCTACCATATTAGCCCATACTCGTTTGGGTACCTTTGAAATATGTGTAGACTCCGATTACTGCATATACCGCTCAAGACAATGGCCTCCACACTACACTGTAAGTAACTTAAAAGTAGGAATAGTTTGTAATTTATCTCTATTCTCAACACACAGTGAGTGTAACTGAACAAAACTATTGTACAGTAGTTTTTGGATCTGAAATTTTAAGGCAAAAATGGGAAAAACAGCAAGCTGTTCCACAACAGAAGACTTCCACATATATGCTATGCATGGTGGCACATGCCTATAATCCCAGCATTCAGGAGGCTGAGGCAAAAAGATTACCGTGAGTTTGAAACCAACCTGGGCTACATAATGAGTTCAAAGTGAGCCCGCACTACATATTGAGACCCTCAACAAAATAAAGAAAGAAAGAAAGAAATCACAAACTACTCTATATACCAAAGAAATGTTTCCTTATCTGTGTCCAAATATAGGCCTCAAAACAGATATTTCAAACTCTTACCTAAATTATTTAGGACACAAATAGACACAAGATGGATGGAAAAGTTATAATGAGTAGTGAGACAGTTATCACCAAAAAGATGGGCTCTTCATGCAATTAATTTGGTTAATCTCCTTTGAGAAGTAATCTCCTTTTTTCAGTTAGGGATGGCTGCAATATCAGGTTTGATAAGAACAATTAAAGGGATCAGGAATGTAACTTAGCAGCATGGTGCCTGCCTGGCAAGTGCTAGGCCCTGAGTACCAAAAAAAAAAAAAAAAAAAATAGGGAAAATGATTCACTCATAAGCAACAATATGGGTACAATTCTGGTGCTGGGGGCAGGAGACAACATATTGGCTGGTTAATGGTACACAGATAAAATCTCACAGAGCATTCAGAGATGCTAAACCTTAA